ATATATAGTGCACTGTGCTATTCAATAAAATAAACTATATAAAACATACAAAAGAACTAATATTTTTCAAAACAACTTGTGTAAAAAATTATAATATAACTCTGTAAAAGTGATCTCTCGCTTAGTGAATATCCCAGTGATAAATGTGAAATGATAAATGCAATACAATAGCTTCCACAACCAAGTGTGGAATCTCTATAAATCAGTTACAATATTCCATAAAAACAAACAGTGTCCATCTATATAGTAAAAGTAATCAGCAGTGATAGTCCTTCTGTGAATACAAACACTCCACAAACAATCACAGGTTCATCCAATTAGTGCTGTGTTCATGTTATTCTCTTACTATGTGCTCATAGATTCTTATGACACTCTGAAACAGAGAGTCAAAAACCGCTGAGTTCCCAATTGCCCGATCAATCCAGCATGTGTAATCCACTTTAATCAATCTTCCTCCACTTCTCCTATATTCGTCCTCATTCCCTAGGATAATAATTTAGTGATTCATCATAACCATGTAATGATATAAACCACTCATAGTGCAGTAGGTAAAACAAATTTCTTTATTAAAAAGCAATTTACTCACTAGGGATGCACCGATACCAAGTACCATACTCGGTACAAGTACAGCTACTTTTCGAGCTCCAAGACGGGACTAGAGAAAAATTCAAAAGTTAGGAGGCAGCTGTCATTTGTAAGGAGCACACGGAGGACCTGGGATTTGTACATCTCTGTTTTAATGTATGATTTTGTTTTTATAAATATAAATAAAGGGATGCACCGATACCAGTTTTGCAAGTACAAGTACTGATACTTGCCCAAGTACTTACAAGTACTGATACATTTTGGTTATTGTCATGTGACAGTTTTTCTACAACAATACAAACTAATGATTTCAGGACAGTGGTGGAGCGCCAGAGCTATGTCCCAGCTGCAACCGCTACAACTCTGGTAGTTCTCATGAAAATGCCAAGTATCAGCACTGGTATCTGAACTGGTATCGGTGCTTCCCTACTACTCACATTCAGTATTAAAAAGCCGGCATATTTTCAATCCTCCTCCTATTCCCGCATGCGTGATGGAGGACGAATATAAGAGAAGTACTTTGTACTTGCAATGTACCTGCCACAAATGCGATTTATTGGTCTTATCTCATTTTGCCCTTTTTATTAAATTATTTTTTGTTAAACTTTTAATAAAAATAATTGAACAATAAAACATTTAACGCTGAAGTTTAATCTGCTTATGTTTTGTCATGCCTGGTTCCTGCTTTCTGTCATCATCAATATGTTAATATAGTTTATAAATTCAACCTTTTCTGTTTTCAATACATACCCTATTTAAGACCAACTGATGTCATCACTGTGCTCTGCAGGTCAAATTATGGCTGCTGGGAGGAGATGGTTGGCTGTTCATAGATTCCTGAAATCATCACAGCACAGTACTTCTATAAAGAGCCCTCAGCCCTGATGCAACCAGTTAGTCAACTTTTGGGAGGAGTTACAAAAAAAATGATTTGATGAGTGAGCGTCAGTCTGCAGGAGTGGGCATTCCTGGGCAAGCTGAATTTGCATGCAGACTGCCCTAGGTAATGGCCACATGTGATGCTGGGCATCTATGAATAAAGAACTGAAATTCAATGTATAAAAGGAGTCGGTCAGGGACAGTCAGACTGCGGAGGAAAGTGCTAGATTATGCTGGATGCCAGTAGCCACTGCTCCAGGCTCACTCGCGTGATAAACTATAACTTCAATACACAATAACTAAGTAAACATGAGCTTGTAGTCCATTATGGGAGCAAACTTGGAGTGATGGCGACTTTACAACAGACACAGAGAACAAAAGTAGTGTCAGCACAAATTCACACATTATTTGAGGATCTACAGCTGAGTGATACACAAATAAGATAAAATGTTGTTAATAGTTAAGGTACTTGAATGTATTTTTAAGATTTAACTCCTAAGTTTAATGCTAATTTAACCTTTAGTAAATCCTAATTAACTCCTTGCTCCCCTTTTCTTTTCCCCTTAGCTGTTTTTTTTTGCTTTTTTGTTTTTATTTTTACCATTAATAATTTTGTTTTCATAGTTTTTTGTTATTTTGTGTTGTATTACAAAAGGAAACATGTAAAAAAACATAATTTTAAAATAATTTTAAATGGGAAAATGAACGAATAAAATATATACTTTTTATTGGCAGTACAATTTAAATGTTTAGGTCTTTTTTTATAGATTGCAAAAAAAAAGAATACAATTGCAAGACAATATTGCCAAAAGAAACCCTAGTTTTTCCCCTAAAAATGCATGAATTATTTTGTTATCTTAATGATAAAATGACATTCATTGCTGAAAAACAGGCCAATAGTGGAAATGTAAGAATTGCTCTCACCCATAAGGGGTAGACAATTACTAGAGCATAAGTTGTTAAAGACACAAAAGCCCCCAATAACAACAAAAAGGGCAAAGTACAGTTTCCTAACTGACCCTAATCTCTCATTCTGCCGTTGTCCTACAGCAACTTTAATACACTGACACTATGGCTGTTCTGGGCCTCCATTTATAGCAAGGGGGCTGACGTATCTAGAAAGACCCATTTTTATCTCTTATAAGCGTGTTGGTGATGGGGCCAAGGCTTAAGCATCATTAAAAAATATGATCTGTCAAATTTGCACATCCAGCAGCGCAAATGCCACAGGATTTGCCATAAACCCACTTTAGCAGCAAATCTGTACCTTATCCCTAATACAGAACTAGAGATCTCACCACTGGAGTACCTGTAAAATGAAGGAAACTGCTGGTTTAACTCTCCAGCTGACCCTTCAATGGCCTTGCTGTCAAGCACGAGGCTTAAGTGGCTGCATCTTATATTATATGATCCCTTTACTTTTTACTTCAGAAGAAGGAAAAGTAGAAGGGAAGATAATCAAACAGTTAACTTTTTTTATTAAAGTAATCATAAAGTAACCCTGAGATTAGGACATAAAATAAAATGACATGTCATACATGCATAAAACATTATTACATCGATATTTCTTCTAATCGGTTAAGAGAGGAAGTTAATAACAATAGCTGTGTATTAGAGCTTGTGAAACCTCAAAATATGTTATTCTTTGCTCATTCCAAGGAACTCATTAATATATGCCTAGCATTTAAATATTAGTCTGTCAAGATCCCAATATCAGCTTATGAAAACTGGAACAGAAAAGATGGAGAAAAATTGGAGACAGTCAGGGACCAGAGCACCTCCGGGTGGCACTGGAGCTGCAACCTGATCCTGCAGTTCCAGTGCTCGCCTGCAGGTGTCTGCCAGCAATTAGTAGCCACCTGGTGCTGCTCTGGGAGGATATTTAACTTGCTGCTGGCCCTGCTGTGAGGCCTGTGCCACAGTATTGTTGCCATATCCTGTATCCTGTTTCTGCCTTGGACCCTGACTCCTGACCCTCCAGTATCCTGTTTCTGCCTTGGACCCTGACTCCTGACCCGTACCTCTGAGTTCTCCTGATCTGTGGCTCCCGGCCCTTGCCGTTTGTATATAGTGTAGTTCTTATTTGTTTCTTGCGGGTGGTGGTTGGATAGCCTGTGTTTATGTGGTTTGCTATATCTATTAAAACTATTATTTACAAAGATTGTTGTGGTATTTGCAGTGTGGTCACATATTCGGTTCAACTGTATAGGTACCTGCACGTGGTGTTGGGACACCCGTGCTCAGTATCGTGACAGAAAGTCAAGTTGCACTCAACAGCTTTGAGTTGCTCTTTCAGTCACACTAACTTGAATGGGAAAGAAAAGTAGCTGAGATGACAAACAAAAACCTTTGTACACAAACCTT